AAAAAAAAAAAAAAAAGAGAACACAGACTTACGTGAAAACCATTCAGGACCGTTTAATAAAAAAATAAGCAAGTTATCCAGGATCCGACCCAGCAAGCAGTGTCCATCCCGAAGAGAGGAAGGCACCGCTGGCCGGCTCTGACATTCACTTCCGGCTGCAGGCGCAGCAAGCCCTCCAGCCTGGGCCAGGGAACATCCTGCCCAAGCTGCAGACAGCACCCGAGTGCCCCTGAGCCCCCCAAAGGCTTAGACAGAGGAACCCCACTGAGCAGGCGGACACCACACCTGAGACGCAGGTCTGGGAGGCCAAGCAAACAGGACCAGGAGCAGGCAGGGAGACCCAGCCCCCTTCCTCACCCCGCCCCCTCCAGGGGGGCTGGCGCAGGAACCTGCAAGCGGCCATGTGGTTACTGGGGCCAGCAGAAGCCCCTGGTGAGAGAAGTCACCCTCCCTCCGGGGTGGTGACCTGCACATAGCTCAGGTGACTGGGGGATGAATAAGGACTCAAACTCAACCCTTCGCTAACCCCACTGGGAGTCCACAAGGTCTGGTACACAGTAGGCACTCAATAAATGCCTAATGCATGAAATGAAAGGACTCTTTTTGTTCATCTCTGGGGCCCAGCACACATGTGGGAAATCAAATGTAGTGACTGAACAAGTGTGATACTGTTTTGTATCACGAATGTCTAGCGCACACAGTAGGTGCTCTTCAGGTGAGTGGGGAAGAAGCCAATTAAAGAGTGAAAAGCACCTTGTTCATCTCCATGCCTAGCACCCAGCTCAGCTTCTGGCGCACAGCGGACACTCAATAACAGCACGGAGTTGATAAGAACTTTTGTGTCTCAAGTACCAGGCACATAGTAGGTACCTGATATGTGTTTGAATAAATGAAAGTGTCTTATTTATCTCAATATTCCCAGAGCCTGAAATGGTGCCCAACCGTCAGTAGGCACTCAATAAATACTTAAATTAATCTTTAAAAAATGAATGTGTATCACTAGTGCCTGATTGGGGGGGGGGGGGGGA